ACACTCGCGACTGACTGTCTGACACCTAGAGACGTCTCTATTTCAAAGCACTAACGATGACTGTAACACGAACTCCGACAATCAACTACTCTATCATATGAAAATTTAACTTTGTCTTTTTTAATAAATAGAATTCAAATTGTGACTATTTTAGAATACAATAAGGTGCCAATTGCTATGCTTCGACAGTACATTCTCGCTAACATGGTGTGATTGACGGAAAACTAACGGTAGGCGAAACCAAAGTTTAAGTTGTAAATGGGTCACAGGAAAAACTGCCTTCTGACGGCAATATTCGCCTTCATTTAACTGCACTGAGAATTTTGCAGAACATAGACACACTTTAACGAATGCAAGGTGACCCCGCAAGATTTATTGAGTTTGTTCACAGATCTTACTGTATTCGATATAGATATACACTATGCTTGTACACTGCAAACTTATTACAAGGTTGTCTGCACAACAGCTGCGCACACAATCGAGAGAAATAAAATGTTTTTATTGCATCTTAACCACAAAATGAAGTAATTAGCAAAACTAAAATATATACTTATTTTATCAAGAATTAAGATACAGACATTATTTCCGAACTGAATTATTAAACGAGATTACACAAGTCTGAACATTAAGACATCAAACACTGCACTGCTAGATTTGACAGATGATGACAAATAATAAACGAACCATATTTAATTCGATAGAAGAGGTTATCAAGAGCTCTTGCCTCTTGGTCGTATCTAAAGGAGGTAATAGAAATTGCTAAAAACAATATAACCTTGTGGAGCGATAAAATAATAAATACCTTCATTGAAATAACGGTCACAGCAATAAATATATATGTTCGGAACAACCTTGAATACTAGAAACTCTTTCTATTGACAACAAATGAAAGTAAAGAAAAATATTTCAAGACACTTCTAAATATTTTGAAGCATTTCAATTCGAATTACGCTATTCGTTCCGCGACGGTTAATTTAATTAAAATTTTCTGGTTTAAGAGTAAAAATATTTTTATCTAGACTAGCCATTATTGTTGTATTAAAAATAAGAGGTATAATATTAGACCATACCGGAGCAAAAAAAATTGCAGATAAATTCAAGCTGGCAAGGTGTGTTTGTTATTCATTCTATTTTCTTCCTGGTCTCATTATCACTAAGAATAATGGCACCGGCTTCTAGTATAACCAGCTTGGCTTCTATTTACATGAATAAGTATTTCTACTCATTTTTATGGAAGGATCCCTTTAGCCAGCGTCAAAAGGTTCTAACTGCATATAAATATTGCTTGGTTGTCATAATACTTTTTCGTGATCTTCCTTTACTACACGGTGTTAAAGCTTTCTAGTGACTCTCGTAGTACTAATCCTCTTTGCGCAAAATATTTCTTTTACAGTCATAGCTCCTCATGACGTTATAGTAATAATTATAATATTTTGAGACATAATACTGCACTGTCACACCCAAGGTGTACTCGTATTTGCAATGAGCGTGACTCTAAACCGCGAATACTCAAACCGTCACGCCCGCAATGGTTACCTTTAAGTATTAGGCTAAGTTTCGAACTTCTTTTTGTTTTTTTGTTTAATTTATAAATATAAATAAATAAAGGCCTTTATTCACTGACCATATTACACATTTTAACTTATATACTACATACTTAATTTTATCAAATTTTTGATAAAATCTTTTCTCTAACAACCACTTAGTCAGGTTGTCTTTCGACATAGGCCTCCCCCAGTTGCTTCCACTTATCCCTATCTTGAGCTATCATTCTCCACCCTTTCGGCAAATCATCCTCCCATCTTTTGATTTGTCGTCCTCTTTGTCTTTTTTAAATTTATGGGGTACCATTCTATTACATCCTTCGTCAATTTTTTTCCCACTATCCTTCCTCATTATATGACCGGTCCAGATCCATTTAAGTTTTCTTATTTTCTGTAATACATCGGTTACCCTAGTTCTTTCCCTTATTTTTATCGTTGTCCACTGGTCTCGTAATTTATCAATAGTTACCTCAACTTAAAACAAAAACTATATAATAAAAACTTCTTGATTCGTTAGTGCCCCTTCAAATGGAAGAAAGTGTTGTATTAACCCACTAAACGCATTTGGCTACGTTCAATCACGCAAATATATTTACATTTTAATTTGCACGTTAACAGCATATCAAAGTAACTAAGCTAAAAGAATTATACCGGAACTTATTGTTATTCATGTAATTAATTTATTGTATAATAAGCTCACATAATGCGTAATGATTGGAAAATAGCTTTGATATTGCACTGAAGACAGTTATTTTAGTTATGTAATAATAAATCGATGGTATATTGTATCGGCCAATGAAAGAGAAACGAAGTCTTCGTTTTTATGTAAGATGACAGCGTTGATCTTTAGGGTTCTAAATAGTTTTATTTATTACCTTTACCTTTTTAACTTAAATGTTCTTCCCATAGTTAATTCGAAAAATAGCTATATAGTAACACTAGGTACGTATGTTTGATTGAAAGACGGTCTTGTTGCCAATAACGCTTTGTCCTTGCCCTTTTTATTGGCATAACAAGTGCCAGTTTTTGCCAGTAGTTGCTCAATACTGCATTTGCAAACGTTGCAACATGGATATTGTCGACAAACAATGTATTTTAAAATGTGACCTACTGACGTTTTGACGTGTTTAATTTTAGAACGAGTCTTCTTTTGTTTATGGTTTGGAAGAAAAAATTGTAAAAGAGGTCGACTTCTTTTAAGAACTGAATTTTTAGACATGGTAATACATTTGTTACCGCAATTACATTACTGCATAATACATAAATGGTTGGGACTTTGCTTAATACTTTTGTAATTCTTAAACTACGAAGTACTGTAGTAAATTCAATCTGTTTCAGTGTTGTAAATCTTGGATTACTAAACCGTCTTTCTAGTGATAATTATTTATGGATTTGCAAGCCACTTTGATGACCTCAGAAACCCATTAGAAAGTTATATTTAAACAACTCCATTTTAGTGCTTGCCTAAGATATATTTTAGCCCCTAACAACCTTTTAAGCACCACCCACGCTGTTTTGCACATTCAAATTTCCATAATTTTCAACCGTAAGTTCCGCAAATTATCTCTAGTGGGTGTTCAAGATGCACAAAGTAGCTATATTGGTACTTAGACATGTTCCAACATTGTGGATATGCGTGGGCGGTGTGTAGGCAGACGTGTCTTTAGTTAGTTCAAACACACCAGTATGTACCTTGACTGAGGTTATTTAAAGATACTCTTGATATAAAGGAAGCGTACTGCAGATTAAGCTTCCGATCTTTAGAAAGATATCAATTAAATGCGTTGAATGTGTATCTCTTGAAGCATCTTTGATCAGAGATCGTTACACATATATATATATATATATATATATATACATATGAAAGGAAGCGACTGATATCGACACTGCCTTAGTTTGTTGCTGTATTTGAAAGGTTTTTTCAGCACTTCAAAATGACGTTTAAAAAATCATTGCATTATTGCCAAAGTATTGATAAGCTGTTGTTTTCTTAATTTATTGTTTTATTTGTGTTTGAAAATTTAGAAAAACAATAAGTAGATGATTTTTTATTGTTATTCGGTGTTACGAACACGTTATTGAATTTTTGCTTTAATTAGTATCCATTCTATTGGTATTTTTAAGTAATGGCTGTTGTAATCGTTTTGATATTTTGGCCACCCGCATAGTAATTATTTTGAAAATTAATGTCTAATATATTACATTACTTTTCAATATTATGAGTGTTTGTTATGGACAGACTAGCTGCAGTAATCGGCTGGCTAATATCTGCTCTCTTAATTAGGAAACGCAAACCGCCATGATGAAAAACTAAGTAACTTGTACATTTTCAAATAATTTTTCCTCCGATGATTTTACTCAGATATTAATTGGTTATTTTATGGTAACTTTTTAAATCATGGTAACCTTGATTACTGATTATACGTTACTGAGAATGAGCAAATTAATTCATTGTTTTTTGAGCCTAAATTGATAAACAAAAACTTACAAGTAGTTCCATTTTTAAATAATATATTTTTTAATTAAATATTTTTGGGGTTGATAATATCTAATCTGTGCTACTGTCTGAGTAAAGTATTATTTTTTCACTATCAATATAGACTTGAACATAACACAGATTATATATTGTGTTTGACATTAGGTGCATGAACGTATCTAGGGTATACCTGGTTCCCCGGCTATTAGTACCCGAGACGGCGTGCGGTTTTAGTCGGTTCGAGTCCGACATGCCACAAAAAAAAAAAAAAAAATGCGCATAATCAACAGATGTTGTATACTTAACACTCATCTATACTAATATTATAAAGCTGAAGAGTTTGTTTGTTTGTTTGTTTGTTTGTTTGTTTGAACGCGCTAATCTCAGGAACTACTGGTCCGATTTGAAAAATTCTTTCAGTGTTAGATAGCCCATTTATCGAGGAAGGTTATAGGCTATATATCATCACGCTAAGACTAATAGGAGCGGAGCAACAATGAAGAATGTTTCAAAAACGGAGAAAATTTGTTACTATTGAGAGACGCAGACGAAGTTGCGCGGGTCAGCTAGTTATAAATAAGTACACAAATATTAGCTATGTAAATAACTCATTCTAGATATAAACTTTAATGAAGCAAATTCAAATATTTCTGCTAGTCGGCCATGTTCGTCAAAAGGTTTAAAATAAATTTAAGGTTAAATTAAATGTATGTTGGTTGTAAACATTTGGTTGTTGCGGCACAAAACAGAAAAACTGAAAGAAAGCTACGTTTTGAAAACGTTGCGCAGTTTAATTTTAATATAGTTTTTACTACATACCCAATTATTATAATTAAGAACTGTTTTACCTAAGCTCTATTTCTACACAATAATATAAAATTTAAAATAAAACTGGCTAGCCAGCGTAATTCCCGATTATATCAGATTAAATAACATAATATTATTGTTATCGCATTAATAGAATAATTTATTTAACTTACCAATTTCCTCATTGGTGGTAGCAGTCGATGTAATAGATAAATTCATTTTGTCAATAATCACTATGGTATAGAGTTACTAGTGTCAATCCATCACTTTCACAGAACTTTTGATCATAGATAAGCGTTATGTCACAAGGTATTATGAAGATATAATAGCTTTAATATTATCTAGATATAAAAATCGTTCTTTAGCTCTTGTATTCAGAGGGAATTAGAAAATGGAAGACTTAACTGAGGTATGTATTGTCCAGAGACAATTGCTTTACACGAAGGTATTTGAAGTAGTGTTGAGAAAAACAGCTATATAACTGATAAGGCAGGATGTTCTTTGATTCTAAGGACCAACTTATTCGATGCTAATTTTGTTTTTAGTTTTGATTGAGCCAATGATTGAAGATTAATAATAAATAATATTTTAAAACTTGAAACAATGGGTTTTTCTTATTTCATGACGTTCGATCTCCACCTTCGTTTCCACGAGTCCCAGCCATAACTAGTTCATTTCTATTGCAAATAATACCTACTGCACTGAGTTGTCAACCAAACTTTATACACATATTTTTATGGACATAATTTCTACTTTTTCGTGAAAATGGAGTGGCATGTTATGGCAGTACTTTATTTCCAGCCTCTACACTAGGTACATTAGCAAAATACTTGTATAGTAAGCGGGTGGGAACTAAAAATCAGTACTGAGGTGGCATCTATCCACGGCAGTGTACACTGAGGGTCCACCTATTTTCTAAAACACGGCGTACAACCCTCAGCAACATTGAAGGTTTTTAAGGGTACATAGGTTGATAAGTATTAGTTGATAAGTAATAGTTATTATAAGTAACATTTCACAGACGTGTGGGTGGATACGTGACACATTGACGTGTTATGTCAATACTGTCAGGTATGAAAGATTGACGTGATAAGAAAAGAGGACTACATTGTTCACAATTTTGAGTCAATACTTCAAAACATTTAGCTATTTTGGAAAGCTAAGATTTGATTGTAAAATCGGTAATGAAACTTTCAAAGTTCAAAGTCATTTTGAAGGCAATTAAAAGAATAAGTAAAAAATAATTCCATTATTTTTTCAGTTACTTGGAAAATAAATAAAAAATCCATGTTACTTTTCTCTCTCTTGACAACCCTTGCTGTTCTAGGCAGCTAAATGCAATTAATTTCGTTTTATTACAGTAATGATGGAAGGTTTGGGAACATTTATAAAAACCTTAGAAAAGTCTTTGACAGTACAAATTCTTTTGTAATATTTAGCGTAAAAATGCATGAGACGAACAAAATCAATTAATAATAACTAACATCATTAAACTAATCAGTATTTATAGCCGCATTAAATATATAATCGGTTGATAAGTTCTTCTCGATATAGACGGCTTCTTGATGGCTTATAATCACATTATAGTGTAACCAATCGATAATTATCAAAACAAGTTTAAATAGCTTCTAGCACATGTTATAGATTATATCGGTTTTAAAATAGCGGTTAATACTGAGCACGAGAAGGCACGAGTAGTGAGTCCCAGGCTGCTTAAATACAGCAAGTTAAAAATTACAAAGTAAATGATATTTGTAATGTAAAAATGTACCCACCCTATTCTTGCTAAATTTTCAAACATAATGCAATATTAAAATAAGTAAAGGAGCAAAAATGAAAATGACAAATATCGATCCAAGTTAAAAACAAGAACTGTAGATATATAGTCTCTGATATTATATTTTGTGTCTTTAAAATGATCCGCTTCAATAAAATGAGGTTTAATAAAATGAGTAATTAAAATACTAAACTCGAAGAAACGAATTATATTCTATTTTACTACGAAAATGATAGCCCAGAATCACAATTGAATTAAGAACAGTGAGGGAATATAATGTTGCGAACTATAAATGGTGATTATTTTCATTCGAAAAGGCATAATGAAATAATGACAGTTATTCAAAGGATGTTATGAACGGGTGCACATGAGTTTCAGTTTTGTTACTGTTACATCATTTTCTACTTTCGCTTCTAATGTTAACGTTGTGGTTCCTTTGTTGGCGTTGTTGCGGTAAAATACCAGTTTTATAAGGTAAAAGTGTCTTGTTTAAACGGTAGCAACTTTTTAAATTAGTATTGCCGTGACGAGTTATTTGGAAATAAAGACGAGTCATAAACATATTTGGAAAGATAATTATAAAGTTTAAAACGTTTTGTGCAGCTACAACATAAATTTCAGTTCAACCATGGGTCTTGTGAATAATTACGTAGTCATCGATAACATATGCATTTGTCTTTGAAAACAAACATTGCACACAGTAACTGTCAATAGATAGATCATTCACTGTAAACTAAAACAGTGTAAATTCTGATGTTTCATTGTCAATTATTTCAAAATGTTTGTTAAGATGAAAATAACATGAAACATAAAATATTAGCTTTATATTGCCCGTTTTTTATTCAGTATAATATGTCAGCCATCAGACCAGATCAGCCAGGCATGTAATACATCAGAGAATTTAAAGTAGCGGTACTCAAGTCGAGCTAGAATGTCCGCCCGAGAAACCGTTACTTTAATAATTGACGGATAATCTGTAAGCAACAATAGAATGTCGGTCGAGTATCTGAAGTAATTAAAACAACGATTAATCTGGTATTTAGACAACGAGGAACTAATTGGAAAAGCGTGAGTAAAGGTTGAAGAGAAAACAGAAACCTAACTGAAGAATAAAGTAAGTTTGTTTTTATTTTTTAATCATTGATTTTCTATGGGTGTATGCATATAGCGCAAATAGCAGATGTATGATTTGTGTTGTTTTAAAAAGTAATACAAATTTGTTTCTTTACAGATTTGAAGATGCTGATTTTGAATTGGCATAATCTTTCCGTTCCCCAATCAAATGATTGAAAATAGCTAGGGAGAATATGCTTAGGTAACTTATATAATGAATTTTAAATAGAACTTGAATATTATAGCGTTTAAAGAAATCCAGAACACAGATTAAATAAATCCTTTTGAAAAAAAGTTGAACCGACTTCAAACAATACTAACAAAGACCAACTAAACGCACTGCTACAATGAGACAGCGAGGTTTCGTAAGTAATCAAAAGTATCATCGATGTATACAATTTTTTGATTTTTGTTGATTTTTCAGAAACCGCTTCACCGATTTCAATAAAATTTAAATGGGACCACCTGAGAAGTATAGCCTTTAAAACAAAAAAATAATTTTCCAAATCGATTCAGGCGTCTTCGTGTAATCGGTAAACATACATTAAAAATAACCGACGAATTGTGAACCTCCTCCTTTTTGGAAGTCGGTTAAAAAACGCGCATAGATTTTAATTGCACGTCATCATTGAGTTAAAACAACACTAGAGAAGCAAACCTCATTATCACACGTCGAAAAAAGTGTAACCACTTTTGAACTTTGACGACGTAGCTTTGATACCACTAAACATTTGAAAGTAAACATATTTATGTCTCATTTACACGCGAGACGAGAACAATACCATCGCTCGGATTAGACAAAGACAAAGACATAACTTTACGATGGTGGGCCAGTGTTGACCACCGTATGAAATTTTACCCATAACAACTAAGAAACATTTTTTTTTAAAACAATTTTGTAATAAAATAAATTAATTTAAATATTCTAAATAATATATTTCGAATTGAATAGAATAGGTATAAATAATAAAATAACTGGAAATATTTGGTTAAAAGGGTTTATATTCAGTGTAAAATCAAACTGCGCTGTGAAGCATCAGTTTTGTATACAATTGTCTTTTAGACTCTTTTTTATAAGTTTGTGTGGATATTTTACTTTTATGATACAATCTTATTTTTACGTATGTATAAATAATAGCATTTAATAATAAAAGTGAATGATCAACTTGTACTGATAATAAATAATCCCCAGGGTGTATTGCAAATTCTATTATAATTTAAAAAACAAATAAAAAAAACTATTTTTTAATTTTTTTTATTTATATTTATAATTTTTTTTATTTATATTTATTTACTTTTTTATTTTATATTTTTATTTTTTATTTTTATGATAAACATTTTTTATTATTATTATTTGGTACAATTATTATTTAAAATTGATAATAAATTAAGAAAAACAATGAATTAATTCTTTTGTACAAAAGTCTCCAGCACCAAGCAAGAAGAACGTTCAACGGGTCCCTAAAAAAAGTGATCGGTCCAGCCCTAACAACTACCGTTCTTCCTATATTTTATTATTATTGGCAAAATGTTTAAAAACAGTATAAAGCATATTATTTCATAAATTATAAATTCTCCCACTAATGTGGGAAAACCAAAATGATTTTTTAATGGTAACACTGATTCTAAATTACAATTATCAGTGTTTTATTTCAATTACAGCCTTATTTACGATATTATCAATACAAAAACCATAACTTACACGTGAAAAGTAATTCCGCATGATTTATTAATGTTTTGTGACTTTGAATCGCATTCTTTCACTACGCATTTACCCATTTTGGCGATTGTTACTGTCATGTGTCGCTATGTTCAACTCGGTTGACGCCACATTGAACACTGAATTGACGTTTGCTACGCATATGCCTGTGGACAGATGTGCAGTAGCAACGATTTTAGGCGGTAATTACTCATCTATGTAAGTATTATATCAATGCACGTCATAGACATAGTCACACTGATTGCTAGTTCCAGTGTGTGGAAGTGAAACTGTGTTTAGGGTTGTCGCATATGATGGAACGGGTTTTAAGACTACTTTCCTCACATAACATATGGATTCCTGCGATTTTCTTGACAATCTTTTAAGCGCAGAGTTTAACAAAATATTTAAATAGATGCCTCTCACGAAAGCGGTTAAAATAAATTTAAATTAAATTAAACGATAAATTTAAAATACTATCAACAATATAATTTATAGATTGGGCTATTAGTAATAAAAAAGTAGACGGCACAGAAAAAGTAAGATCATCTATGAACAGGATTATAAAAAGTAACGGTATATTTTTGATTGAGGATATTCTGTTATATCCTCAATCAAAAATATACTGAG